TATATATATATATATATATATATATATAAAATTTAAGTACTAAAATAATTATTCTATTATTAATGTTTTATTTGTATAAATTTCTTGAGATTAAATCATCTTTTGATTTTAGTGTGCATTTTTAGATTATTTATTCCATTATTTAATAAAATATTAATTTTGAATATTATTCATTTTAATTTTTAGTTTGAGTTGTTAAACATAAGTATGTGTTATTTATTTGGATTACGTGTAGATACTAAATTTAATAAAAGTTATTTTATCTCACTTATTAACATAAGAAGCAAAATGGCCTAGTTGTTTAAGGGTCGATTTAAGATTAAGGCGTGCTGCACGCTAGGCGACCAGGGTTCAAATCCCTTTATCATCATTTTTTAGTAGAAGGGCGTGGCATATTGATGCGTATCAGCCGATACAATGTGATATGGCCCGATATGCCCCTGTATCAGCCCGATACACATGATTGGCAAGACACACCTCCAGTCATAGTGTATCTCAGTCATAGAGAATTCAACGACGTAAAAAGATCGGAGGAATCCAGTGATAAGAAAATCCCAGAAAAAGAAGGGTTCCACTATGATACATGGTACTGGATAACAGAATGTTTAAGATAAAACATTATTAGATTAAAAAACTTACCTCTGCAATATCATCTTCTCCAACAACTCCAAAAGGTACAATTGTTGCCCCAAATCTAGCTGCCATTCTCACAAATTCAGGCTGATCAGGCCAAAATAACTTATATTCTTCACCCTGACAATCATCAAGGCATGTATAACCATTAGAAGAAAGATACACGAGAGCTAAAGTATTACCAAGCAATCAAATATAAACTTATGCGGGAACAATTGGGTCATTTAGTGGGCACCCATAGATGACCTAGGAATCTTCCACATAGCAAATTAACTTGGATCTCCAAGAGTCAAAAGGAGTCTCCATATTTCTCTTCCCATTCTTTCAGCTCAAAAGACCTTGCCATGCGTTCAAAATGGACCTTTTTATGGATAACTTTTATATTAAAAAATTGAAGTACCAATAACCATTATCAATTGGGCTAAACTCCAATACAAGGTCGGGTAATAGGGACAAAATGGACTGTGCAATTAATTAAACACATGGCTTATGTAACCCAAATATGACAAGGACATGGTTGGACAAGATGTTGAATATGGAAATTACAGTAAAAAAAGTAAATATCAAGTCTGAGAGATGATACAACAGCCTTGTATGGGTACTTGGGTATCATTTCATGTGTCTGATCAAATACGTTGCCTATCTCAAGGGCAGTCTGGATTGGCCACAGGATTCCTCCACATGGGAGATATAAGTGGGGCTTGTATAGGAAAGCTCTCTATTTGACCCAATTAGGGAGAATTTTTTCGTATATATATATTCATATAAGTGGACATGCACATGTACGTACATAAATTCAGCATTTCAATGTCCAATGACTACATACATAAAAGAACAATAAAATGATCATTCGGGTTTGTTAAGGACATTCATTAAAAAATATGGCAATGATACGAAAACATTTTTTTAGCAAGAAAAAGGAGAAGATTTATCACAAATAACACAAAGAAAATCCACATACCTTGCGATGGAGAGCCTCACGTACACCACCAGGATAAAGAAGAACATATGATTTTGTTGATAACAACTTATAGAGGTTGCTAGGAGAGACAGGTGATGCACCAAAGATTCTCAAGTGATCAAAGTGGGAGAATTCTTGTAAAGAAGTTTCAACAGTCTTGGTAAACAATATTGGGTGAGCCATACCACGAACCATAACCTTCTTCTCCCTCAAGAATGCCTCAACAATGGGAGCAAGTTCCAATCCCATAAGCATGTGATAACCAATTAGTAGAATGGGCCCTTCGTTGGGAACCCCTGCAAGACCCCTCACTATCTTGCCATCTTCCAATGTTGAAAGCATCACAGAGCTTGTAGCGAAATTAAATAGTCTGCACTTGTGTGTTGACATCATAAATATTGCATAAACCCATGAAAATGTAATTGTGCTGTGATGGAAAACTTACTTATATTGTTGATTAACTGCATTTCTGTATTCTGTCATTGTAGGAGGAATAAAATCTGAGGTATAATCATGTCGCCTTGAGCGTCGGTATGTACTTGTGCCTTTAATAACAGTCAACAGATTAATTCCATCTTCCTGCACCATTTTTATGTTCATTTGGTCAGTTAAGTTCCAATGAGGTTTTATAATGAAATTGTACAAGGTTATGCTCATTGGAATGTACCTCTAGATATTGTGTTACATTATCACACAAGACAAGAAGGTAAACTTGTAAAGTACATGATGCAAGAAAATTTTGGGGGAATCTAGAAGTTATGTTTTGGGAACCTGCCCAACTGAGGCACTACTCCGAGAGAGAGAGAGAAGGTTCACACTTGATTCTTTGCATGTAGTTGATTGTCTCTTAGGATGGACAATGTAATAGCAAGATGCTGTCAATCCAGACTATATACTAAGATGTCATAAAAAAGACAAGTATAAACGACAGAGACAATGGCGAAAGGCCCCATCCAGTAATGATTGGAACATCAAAGGTGCATTTTTTTAATCAGAAATGGTAATTTTCATTAAAAAAGAGATTTCAAAGTACAACTGTTAACCACCCCAGGGAAGGGTGTTAACCCCAAAACACTAGAAGATTACAAGTTACAACACAGCCCAAAAAAAAATTATCCCTAATAGTCCCTTGCTTTGCCAAGGTATCAGCTATCTGATTAGCTGATCTTATAGTCCATTTGAAGCACACTCCAATCTCCCTTGCTATGCAATAGATTTCCCTCACCTGATTGTATCCACCCAATTAGCAACTTACAGTCCCCTTCTACCTCAACTTGGTGGAGGCCCAACTGTTTAGTGAACATTACACCTTGAAACAAAGCCATCACCTCTGCTCTTAGTGAATCACCCACTCCTATTGATCCTAAACAATTCAACCAATTTCAACCAATGAGTAACCTTATCGAATCAAATTAGGTCATATATGAATTCGATTTGATTATGTCGAATCTCGAATTTGAAATTGGATTTTCGAATACTGTTGACACCCCTAGTTAGTAGATTGAAAACATTGTAAAAAGGGGAACAAGTGAAATAACTAGAAGGGGAAGGTGTCCAAATTATGCTATCAACGCAGAATTGATCCAAGAAAACTGATCCTAGAAGAGCATTTGTCAAGCAAACAACGCCACCAAAAATTCGTAGTGGCCATCATGCATTTTGAAAGCTGCCTTGTGGTGCTGGTGATAAGTGATAACCGGACTTAAGGTCCAACTTGGAAAAGATAGTGGCTGCCTTCAGCTCATCTAAGAGTTCCTCAATTTGTGGAATTGGGAATTTGTCCTACTCCTTCACGGTGATATGGTTCAAGGCTCTATAATTGATGCAAAATCACCATGTACCACCTTTCTTTTTAACCAAAAGGACAGGTGAGGAATATGGGCTTGAACTGGGCTGAATGTGTTGTTTCTGCAATAATTCTTTCACTAATTTCTCTATTTCAGCCTTCTAAGAATATGGATACCTATAGGGATTGGATAAATTAGACCAGAAACTGATTGATTTCTGATATAGATTCAGTAGAAAAAGAAGAGAAAAGAAGGTCACGAACAGAAGAAAAAGGGAAGAGAAGAAGAGAAGAGGAAAGAGGGAAAGAAAGGGTGCGGTTCAATAATTCTGCCGCCCCATCAGATTAGTATTTATAGTTTGCATCTTAACTGTATTGGAGTTACATAAATACCCCTTCTGAAACAGAAATAAATATAAAGCAATATGTCTAGCCTAACTACCATAACTACCATGCAATAAATATATAAAAAATATTAGTGGGACCACACACACACTAACAACTATCTCTACACTCCCCCTCTTGGGAGTAGATGTTAATCATTCCCAACTTGCGTAGATCTGTCTCCAACTTGGTCTTTGTAACCACCTTAGTGAAGAGATCAGCTAGCTGCATATCTGAGGCAATATATGGAAAACACACTTCTTGAGATGCAACTCTCTCTCAGATAAAGTGTCGGTCCACTTCAATGTGATTAGTTCTGTCGTGCTGTATCGGATTATGAGCAATGTTAATTGCAGCCTGATTATTGCAATACAACACCAGAGGCTTCTCATATTCAACACCCGGCTTATCAAGTAAAGATCGCAACTATAACACTTCAGCCACTCCATTAGCCATAGATCTGTATTCAGCTTCAGCACTGGAGCGAGCAACGACATTTTGTTTCTTACTCCTCCAAGAAACAAGATTCCCCCCTACAAAAGCACAATACCCAAAGGTAGATCTCCTGTCATCAACACAACCGGCCCAATCAGCATCTGTGTATGTTTCTATTTTCATGTGACCGTTATTCTAGAAGAGCATACCTCTCCCGAGGCATCTCTTTAGATAGGCAAGTATCCTTTCCACTGCAAGGTGGGTGGTTTTGGGAGAATGCATGTATTGGCTAACAACACTGACAGCATAAGAAATGTCCGGTCGTGTTAAGCAAAGATAAAGAAGTTTGCCAACCAACCACTGATACATAACTCTATCTTCAAGAGGCTCTCCACTTTCTGCACTTATCTTGTGGTTTAGTTCAATGGGATTGTTGGTTGGTTTAAGTCCCAACTTCCCAGTTTCTTCCAACAAATCAAGAACATACTTTCTTTGGGAGACAAAGATGCCATGCTTAGATCTAGCTACCTCAATTCCCAAGTAGTAGCGTAGTTCCTCCAAATCTTTTACTTCAAACTCTTGGTGAAGAAGTTGCTTGAGGGTGTCAATCTCACCAATGTCACTTCCTATTACTACAATATCATCAACATAGATTATTGATAAAAAAAAATATCATCAATATAGATAGCAAGAAAGGTCAAATTGGAGTATGTTTTCTTAAAGAAAAGAGTGTGATTTGATTGAGCTTGAACATAGCCAAATTTTTCTAAAGCCAGTCTAAATCTATCAAACCAGGCTCTTGGGAATTGTTTCAGTCCATATAAAGCCTTCTTCAGTTGGCAAACCTTCTTTCCTACCTCTGCACCATAAAAACTGGGGGCAACTCCATGTACACCTCCTCTTGTAGATCTCCATTGAGGAATGCATTCTTAATATCCATCTGAACCAGTGGCCATGGGAAATTTGCAGCAATGGATAATAAAATTCTGATGGTATTCATCTTGGCTACTGGTGCAAACATCTCCAAATAATCAATGCCATAAGTTTGTGTGAATCCCTTTGCAATCAATCTGGCCTTATACCTTTCTACGAAGCCATCAACATTATATTTCACTGTAAACACCCATGTACACCCAATAGGCTTCTTCCCCTCAAGATAGTCAACCAACTCCTATGTATTGTTTTTAACAAGAGCATCCATTTCTACTTTCATTGCATCTTTCCACTCAGGTACTAATAAAGCTTCTTGTACTGTTCTGAGAATAGGAATAGTAGCAATAAAGGCCAAGAAGGATCTATAGGATTGTGAAAGTCCATCATAAGAGAGAAACTGGGAGATACAATGAGCAGTGGATGAAGTACAACGACGCTTCCCCTTACAAATTGCAATTGGGAGGTCAAGGTCATCTAAAGGTAGGGGCTGAAGCTTAGCAGTGTAGGTATATCATCTGCAACAGTGGACTTAGTGGTCTCAGTAGTGGAGGTGGTACCTGGATCTAGAGCTGTAAAAGGAACCGGGATCGGCCTGGACTGCTGAGAACCAAAATCAACCTGTCTCCACCATATGTGAAACACCCTCAATTCCCTGCACTTCTGACAACCCTCTTCACCACTCTCCCCTTTAGTGACCGGAATAGGTAATGGAACTTTTGGAGCTGAATTACCCAACTCACCACTCTCCCCCTGAGAATAAACCTTATGATAGAAGTTGCTCGATCTAAGGATGGGATCCTTATCTCTCAACGAAAGTATGTGCTTGACTTGCTCACTGTAACAGGGAAGATGGGTGCTAGACCAGTTGCTACTCCTATTGATATGAGTCATAAACTCTTTGCTTCAGATGGAGTATTGTTGAAAGATAAGGGAGTCTTCCAGAGGTTACTTGGGAAGCTGCTCTAGTCAGTTCATGCATGCTCCTAGGGACACTCACATGGCAGCAACAGAACGGATTCTGTGTTATTTGAAGGGTTCTCCTAGAAAGGGAATTCTATTTGCTAAGCATAGTCATATAAAACTTGAAGCCTACACAGGTGTTGATTGGGCCGGAAATATTGATGATAGAAGATCTACTTCTGGGTACTGTAGCTTGGTGGCAGGTAATATTGTTTCTTGGAGAAGTAAGAAACAATCAGTTATTGCCAGATCTTCAGCCGAAGCTGAATACAGGGCCATGGCTCATGGAGTTTCTGAGCTGTTCTGGCTTCGATCATTGATGGAGGAACTGGGTATTGAGCATGATAAGCCATTAATGTTATATTGTGATAATCAGGCTGCCATCAACATTGCTCACAATCCAGTGCAACATGACAGAACCAAACATATTGAAGTTGACAGACATTTTATTCAAGAAAGAGTGGCTTTTGGAGACGTTTGTCTACCTTTTATCTCTTCTGAAGGACAGTTAGCTGATTTCCTTACCAAGGGCATCCCCAAGGCTAAACTTCAGCATGATATTGGCAAGCTTGGCATGATTGACATCTATGCTCAGCTTGAGGGGGAATGTAGAGAAGATGGGCCGAATGGCCCATAGACAGTTTTCTTATTTTGTCTCTTTATGTTCTTTGCTGTAATGGGCCCCAACTTGGGCATTTTCTCTTATTTTATGTATTTTAATTATTCGCCCAACTAAGGGCCTCTCTGTAAATTACTGAAATTAAGTTAATGAAAAGGGATTAGGGGTGTAAGAGGAGGTTATGTTCGAAAATCTCTCTCTGAACCCTTATTGCTGCCATCTTCTTCTTCCTCTTCTTGAATCTTGATTTCTGCTACTCTCAATCACTTTTCTACAGCTTTTTAAACAGTCCATTCATTTCAGAAGGCTGTTTTTCTTCTCAAACATTGGTCCATGATTTGCAAATCCGTCTCTGATGGCTGTGGCAATGGTCCTTTTGGAATGTCCAACTCTTGTCAATAGGTTGAAGAACAAGAATTAGTGATTTAAAGAAGCTGGTGGTGGCCTCAAAGGAAAAATCAGAGACAGCACCAAATAAATATATATTTTTTTTCATTATCAAAGATGGTACATTTTTGCTTAAAATGCAAACTTTCTTTTAGTTTTATCTGTATTCTGTAAAAGGGTAACTCAGCTGTTCATGTGGAAGCATTACATGGTTTTGATCGTCAAGGGGAGTGGTTTGCTACTCCCCCCCCCCTCATTTCACTCATCTGTTTGCTACAACCCAACGGATTCCGGCAAAAAGGCTTAGTGTTAACCATTAATGTGATTGGTAGTAGAGTTATAGTCAATCTGTTTAAGTCATGTTTTTTTTAATCTGTTTTCTCATCAATGGAGGTTCAAGTTGACAAAGGAAAAAAAAGGGCATTATTCCAATGAGACATTAGTTCTCAACAATTTGCTTTGGCTAATCAGACTTTAAGAAGCCATGCATTTATACCTGATTTTCCTTCTAATAGGAGCCATATGGGTCAGTATAGGGTTGCCATGGCCATGCATCAAATGTCCAGGCAATTTTGTTGATGGGTACCACCCAAGAGAAATTACTGGTCTGAGAGGCTAGATTACTGCAAAAGAAGCTGATATTATTGCCCCATTTGGATTGAATTGACAGCAATCTTTACAAGTCAACTGTTCACCAAGTGCTGAATCTATCAGAGCCCAACTTGATCATTCAAAAGTTGGATAGCCCAAATCAGCAATTAGACCAGGCAGATAGAACAATCTTGATCAACACAAGCATGTAATGTTGATTTATCCCAATGAATTGGGAAAAAAGTCTTTTATGGGAAGATACCCTTGTTAGGATTGGATGCGGTTTAAACTTAAAATTTTGAATAAGGATTTGTGACCAATCCATTTTGGGTAGCTTTAGCAGCTTAGGTATATTTCTTTTATGGATAAAAATTATTGTTGGTCAGCATTAATTGCATTGGGCATGACTGTTTTAGGTGGGCAGAGTTAGAAGAATCATCAAAAACATACATGTTGATAGATAAATGCTGATTTTAGAAGTTTGGGGATATGGGCATTATAAGGATTAGAAATTAAAATAAAACATTACTTGGGTAAGTGGCTATGGAGGGTTGGGAGGAGAGATGTTGTGTGGGGTAGGGGGATGATATACAAATATGGTGTGGCAAGATTTCAATGGCATACAAAGGAAGTTTCATCTTCATATGGGGTTTATATTTAGAAAGGAATAATGAAGTTTCACATAGTATTTGTGGGTTATGCCAAATTTGTTGTGGGTTGGGTTGCTTGACTTGAAGAACTTCAACTACATCGAGCTTGTCTTAGGGTTTGGGCCCATTGAAAATTTGACAAATTCCCAACCCAACCCAATTCAAGTTGCACTCCTAATTGTGCGTGATGGGAGTAGAGCAAGGTTTTTGGAAGATGATTGGTGTAGGAAAGGTAGACTTTGTGATATATGTCCAAGATTGTATAGACTTGACTCAAAGGGCATTTCATTCAGCCAATCCTTTGAAAAAGGGGAGATCGGATTGTGCAATACTTGGTATTTGGGTGTCCACTGCTAGAAAAAGAATTGGAGAAATGTTCTATTTTGTTCTCAAAATGTTGGAAATGAGATTTCCATGTGTTCATTCAAAGCCAAATGTACTCAATTTTACATTCTCTTTGTTAATAAAAGTTATATTTTTCATGAGGCATGCTTTCTACAATTACTTTTCTTTATAATTGTTTAGTTCATAAGCAATATTATAGGGAATCCAAATGATAGGTGAGACTTACCATGAGAGATCTAGGTAGCCCAGTTTCTTATATACCTAAAATATCCTGACTAAGGGTGAGCCTGGACTACTCACCTTAAAGGTTAGCACATGGATGGTTTCTGAAGATGATCAAGACTGCTATCAGTCTTGGGCACTAAGGAATTTCAGGTTCGAACAGAAGAGAAAGTGAAGAAGAAAGAGGAGAAAGATTAGTGAGAGAGCAGTAGAACACAGGTTTGAAAGRAAGGACAGATTCTRAATGATYTGCTGCCGCCACTTCAATTTAATATTTATATGTTATGCTAGTTACATGAAAGGACATATCTGCCCTTGGTGTTTACATCATAACACTTAACAATATAAAAAACTGAAACGTAAATAACAGAATAACATAACAGATAGACTAGGTATATTCTACCCTACGGACAGAGTGGCCCCACACCACATCAGTTTCTCTACAGTTTCCATAGAGAAGAGTGGTGTGATCTCAACCATTGAAGTGAGACTTCAAAATACCATGTGGGTGTGATTGGAATACACATTGATATGATTTAATTTAGAGACTGATTCATGTAATAGTGGTGTGATCTCCATCACTGTTACATGCATGAATCTCTTATGCAAAGTCTCTTCAGTCCTTGGACCTAAAGAGCTCCAGGATTGTTGGGTTATGATCAGCCACAAAACCACTTTGATATACCATGAGGATGGTTGTTGATGACCTATGGCTATGGGATTCTGTATGTTGGGTGTTTGTGAGTGATTCTATGGTTCTGCGAATGTACTCTACATCCTCAGACACGAGGAGAGTGTCACTGCCAAGGAATTGATTCAAATTAGGACTTTGGCCAAGAGTCCTAGTTGGACTCTTGTAGAGGAATCCACAATGACACTAGGACTCTTATATGAGTCCCTGGGTAACACCGGAATGAGTGCAGGGGAATCCTAGTTAAACTGGAACTCCTGGGGAGATATCCTGGTTTGCACTAGGACTCTAATATTCAGCTCTCAGAATACTCTGGATGAATATGGAAGGGTCCTTGTAGCAATAGGACTCTCAGGAAAGTTTCTAGAGCTTGTCCTGCAATGTCCTGATTCCCTACTATACCTGGGTTATTAAATGCTAGCAACTATCTTGAAATAGTTTCAAAACAAGAAACTGAGTTTCAGGAGGTTTCCCTGTCAAAGCAAAACAATTGTCCTATACGATGGTGGCTGGTTGAGAGTCTTAAGACAGTGACTCTTTGTGTGATTTCCCAACCAAATTCAGATGTTGTTGTGTAGAAGGATTGAATTATCTTTTCCCTTTGAATGTAGGGTACATTATGATAATTTCCAGGACTTAAGAACATAACTGCAAATGTGTAATTGGACCTCTTCGCAGTTTTAAGAAGCCTTTCTAATCCTAATCACAAATTGAATAAAGTGGATGGAAGATTCCAATTCAAGAGAAGATAGATGTAGTATCTCCTAGGAAACCCTAATAGGATCTCATACCCCCTTAGAACCCTGCTTCTCATAATATATAAGATAATTTAAGAGTTCAAAGAGCAGAATTCAACCAGACCTATGGAAGAGTTTGATCTACTCAAAGGAGCAGTGTGACTTCCATTGGAGGAATCAAATTGGCCAGTTGGGTTGAGAATATAAGCTGAATTTTCCATAAAAACAATTCAGAATTAAGAGCTGAATATTGGGCGATTTGCAGGTATGAAATAATTAAAAATTAAAAAAAAAAACAATCAGATGCTCCATGGTGATTTTGGGATTATAATGAATCAAATCAACTTTATTTCTTGCAATTCCACTTTCACAAAATTGCAGGTGACAAACATCAACACGTGTAAAGGTGGAAATAATATGTAGATGGGAAGTTCTCTATCAAGTATATTTATGCAGCGGTAATTGAAAATCAGGTAGAAAAGTCCAATAATTAAGGGGTATGGGGAAACTCAATCCCACCAAGGGTTAAAGAGTTCACATGGCTTTAGCACCAAGCAGTATTCTAACAGTAAATCATCTGAAATCAAGGGGGGTTTCAGCAGCCAAGTATTTGTTTTATGTGCAAAGAGAGAGTAAGATGTGAAACACTTATTCATCCATAGTAGCACATCAGATTTGTGTGGGTGTTCTTTTCCATGCTACATTCAAAAACCAGATTTTTAATTGCCAAGGGAGGTTTTTCTTCTTGACCTAATACTTTTGGTGGTAAAAAGGTTAATCCCTTGGAGCATAAACCATTTGCAATCTGTTGGGACATTTGCAGAGAAAGAAATGGATGCATATTTGAGGATACAGATCAGTAAGAATAGGGATGCAAATGGAATCGAATCCGATCTGATAGCAGAACCCGGGATCTGATCCAATCCGAAGATCCGATTGGATCTCCCAAATGGTGTTTCGAATCCAAATCCATCAAGGATGTCAGATATCCGAATATGATCCGATCTGATTCAAAGTATGAAAAATCTAATAAATTATTTAAAGAAAAAAATGTAAAATATTTATACAAAGAAAAACAAAAAAGCATAAGTATTTTGTTCAACTATTTTCATCATATATATTAATATATACATGTCTTTTTATAAAAAATTACAAAAATTGCAATATAAGCATATTTATAAATAAATATATTAATATATACATGTTTTATAAGTAAATATGTGTATGTGTGTGTATATATATATATATATCTGTGTGTGTGTGTGTGTCGGATCGGATTGGATCATTTGCACTCCTAAGTAAGAAGTACATTAATTGCTAAAATTTGCTCTTTGAATGTGAAGGTCATTAGCTCATCCAAAATTTGAAGATACTAATAGAGAAACATCAGGATATAATTGCACCACTTTTAAATGATGGGATTCATTGATTTTGAAGATACAAAATCAAAATCTTGAGCTTATCATAAGCCCTACTGTTATCTGAAAGCTAGTGATCTAAATACCAAATTAAGACAGCTTTCTGTAGCATCCCAGATACAACATACATCTATGGAAAGATAAGAAAAATAGAGAAGAACCTCACCTACCAATAATAGAGTATGACCATTTTCCTTGAAGTAGCGAACTTTGCAATTCTGCAATGAGGTTGAAAGCCGTTGAGCTTCAATTCCACTGGGTAGCATATTATCCTTCCCACTAAATACAAAGCATGAATTAAAAAAATAATATCCAAGAGAAAACAAACCATAATAACCAAAACAGAAACTCCTTATAATATTTTAAGGGAATTTTTTGATGTCTAATGGAAAGGGAAATTTTTTATTCCTAATGGAGATGCAATAAATATATCTAAAAAACAATCTGACAGCCAAACTCAGAAACAAAAATAGACAGCATACTACATCTTGAGAGTATAAATTAAACACCTGGCAAGTACTAGTACTTCAGCTTTGACAGCATGAAGACGAGAATTAGCATAAGCAGCACCTGAATTGAGCAGCTTAAGTTTCCACAAGAGAGTCTCCTTAGGTATAATATCAGCCAAACCCTGCAGAAAATAGACAATAGTATAATTCACAAAGGTAATAGAATATATATATATATATGTGTGTGTGTGTGTGTGTGTGTGTGCAAAACTATGAAAATCAAAACATGGGTTCACAAATATCATAATAAAACACCATGTAGCATAAGTTTACATGTGTTCAAATGAAAATGTCATGCCTAACAGCCTAAGAAGTATTATCCACAGGTTTGGAAATGCAATTAAGGAGGACCTGATGGATGCTCACAAGGAATTCTACGATAGAAGTATAAACTACAAGGGAGCAAGTGCTACTTCCATTTCAGTCATCCCTAAATCCCCTAAAGATTTTAGACCAATCAGTGTAGTGAGTAGCTTATACGTCGTCATTTCTAAGATCCTCTCTCTAATAATGAAGAAAACCTTTCCCTTGATAGTGCCCCAGTTCTAAGGAGCGTTTATTCATGGAAGACAGATAACTGATCAGATACTCATAGCAAATGTGATAAGGCCCAGTCCAATGCTAGCAGCTCGACCCAGATGGACACCAAGGGAAATTCTAAAGCTGCGCACATACTAATCTGTGATGGTTTTAACTGTCTAACAAACTGCAGTGATTGAGTATATAAGACTACCTCCCCATCGGCAGGAGGCAGACATGAATTTTCCCAAATTCCCTTTTGTCTCTTTCCCCCAAGAAACCATCAAGAGGTTGAGCTCCCTCAAAGCAGTTCAGATCTATCAACTGGTACCAGAGCTCGGCCTTCAACTATGCCTACCACCAGATCGGCTAGTGTTGAAGAACGAGTGGATCGAATGGAAACTGATCTCCACAAGTTTTCCGGTGATTTGAAGGAGATCAAGGAAGCGTTATTGGCGGTGATGTCAAGATTCGACCAAATGTCTCCAGCATGAAGAAAGGGCGATGAATTGGAGAGCTCAAGTGCCAGTGGATCGAAGAAGAATGCGCCACCGATTGGACGAGTTGAGAAACTAGATTTTCCAGTATTTACAGGTGAGGATCCTACTCCTTGGCACTACAGGGCAGAGAGATATTTTGAATTTCATGAGATTTCAGCTTCTCAATGGGTCCCTATAGCCTTGATCCATCTGGACGGAGAGGCTAGTTTGTAGTACCAGTGGTACCAAAAGAGCCATCCCCAGTTAACATGGTTAGACTTTACCGAGGCCATTGGGGTTAGATTTAGACCAACTGGGGTTGTCAACTTCGATGAAGCCCTCACCCAACTGAAACAAACTGATTCAGCAAGAGTTCAAGAAACTCATGCTGAGGGTGCATGGATGGCTGAAGCAGTACTTGGTCAGATGCTTTATGGGGGGGGGGGGGGCTTTCGGGATGACATTCGAATTGAGGTGAAGGCTATGTAGCCCACCTCTGTTCTAGCGGCGGCGAGCTTAGCAAAAATACAAGAAGAAAGGTTGGATCGAATTCGTAAATTAAATAAAATGCAAGGGTCTATACTTAAGACCCCACCAAACAAACCAGAACTGATCCCAATGAAAGGAACTGGACATGGACCAATTCCCTTTAAATGGACTCTCTTGGAACGAAATGCAAGCCTGAAGGGAGAAGGGGTTGTGCTATAATTGTGATGAAAAATTTGCACCGGGACATCGGTGCAAGGCCCAACAAGCCTATCTCTTACAAGTGGAGGAACTGGACACGGATCACTACCGACCTGGCCAAGAAAATCGGCCTAACTGTTCAACCCACTACCTCATTCTTGGTTCATGTAGCAAATGGCAACCAGATTGCTTATGATAGTATGTATGGTCACATTGGGGTCAAGATACAAGGGAATGTCTTTCAAGTTTCAAGTGAACCTCTATCATTGAAATTCTCAAGAGCTAATGTTGCATTGGGGATTCCTTGGCTAAGCAAATTGGGCCCGGTGGTGCACGACTGGGCCAACTTAACCATGGACTTCACCATTAGTGACTAGCAATGCCATTTGAAAGGTGTAGAGAAGATGGGCCGAATGGCCCATAGGCTATTTATCCTTTTTTATCTTTTATGTTCTTTGCTGTAATGGGCCTTAATCTGGGCTTTATTCTTTCTTATGTTATGTCTTTTTAATTTTCTGCCCAACTAGGGGCTTCTCTGTAAATTACTAAAGTTTAACTTAATGAAA